ATCCTTCCGCCTCAGCCTTCCAAGTAGCTGGAACTAGAGGCATGTGCTACCACGTCCGGCTAATTTTTTGATTTATTGTAGAGATGCGGTCTCGCCAAGTTGCCGAGGTGGGTCTCGAACCTGCGGGCTCAGACAATCCACTCACCTCAGCCTCCCAAAGGCGCGGAATTACAGGCTGAGCCACCGAGCCCAGCTGATCAATTTTATTTTAAAATACACTTACCAAGCAATTTCACTAATTACTTTCAATGCTAGAAAAACACTAGCATGGGTCAGGTGAGGTAGCTCATACCTGTAATCCCAACACTTTCAGGGACCAGGTGGGAGGATCTATTGAAGTCAGGAGTTCGAGACCAGCATGGGCAGCATAGCTAGACTGTGTCTCTCAAAAGAAAAAAACGAAAGAAAAACACCAGCATGTTTTCACCAGGAGGTGTCTGTTAAGTGTTCGGTCCAATGCAGTAATAGTGAAAAATTGGAACATTCACAGGAGATAAATGATAATACTGCGGTACACCCATATTCCAGAGTATATGCAGCAGTTTAAAATATAGATTAAAACCGGGCTCGGTGGCTCACACTTGTAATCTCGTGCTTTGGGAGGCTGAGGTGAGTGGATTGCCTGGGCCCGCAGGTTTGAGAACCGCCTAGGCAACTTTGCGAGACCTCATCTCTATAATAAATCAAAAAATTAGCCAGGTGTGGTAGGGCGCGCCCGTAGTTCCGGCTACTTGGAAGTCTGAGGCGGAAGGATCGCCGGAACCCAGCAGGTCAAGGCTGCGGTGGCTGAGAGCGTGCCTCTGCACTCCAGCCTGGGCAACAGAGTGAGACTCCAACTCAAAAAATAAATAAATAAATAAATAAAATATAAATTAATCCAAGATATGGTGGATTTGGGTTTATTTAAATTATAGAAGCAAAAGGATAGTATACTACTTGTTTAAAAAGTATGTATTTTCACTGGGCACAGTGGCTCACGCCTGTAATCCCAGCACTTTGGGAGCCAGAGACGAGAGGATTGTCTGAGCCTATGGGCTCGAGACCAGCCTGGGCAACCTGGCGAGACCTCATCTCCACAGTAAGTCCAAAAAATTAGCCAGACTTTGTGGTACATGCCTACAGTTCCAGCTACTTGAAAGGCTGAGGTGGAAGGATTGCCTGAGCCAAGCAGGTAGAGGCTATAATGAATGTGCCACTGCACTCTAGCCTGGACAACAGAGTGAGACTCTGACTCAAAATGATAAATAAATAAAATTAATTTCAGAAATCTCATAATTAATCCAGGTTTTAATATTGTACTTATCTTAGGTATGATAATTCATGAAGAAAACAAAAAGATGAGCATTATCAGGTTCCAAATATTAATATAAGAAAGTTCCAGCCAGGCATGGTGGCTCACGCCTATAATCCTAGCACTTTGGGAGGCGGAGGAAAGGATTGCCTGAGACCTCGGGTTCAAGACCAGCCTGGGCAACATGGTGAGACCTCTCACTACCATAAATAAAACAATTAGCCAGACCTAGTGGCACATGCCTGTAGTTCCTCATCTCCACAGTAAGTCCAAAAAATTAGCCAGACTTTGTGGTACATGCCTACAGTTCCAGCTACTTGGAAGGCTAAGGTGGAAGGATCTCCTGAGTCCAGCAGGTCGAGACTGCGGTGGCTGTGAGGGTGCCACTGTGCTCCAGCCTGGGCAAAAGAGTGAGATTCCAACTCCAAAAAAAAAGAACAACAACAAAAAAAGAAACTTCCAGAAAAATACGTAAGCAACCATAGAAATTCCTAAACTCTCTTTTGAGAAGCCCTATGCAAAAACTTTGCAACACATAGAAATCAAATATGTTGAGCTGGGCTCGGTGGCTCACCCTGTAATCCCATGCCTTTGGGAGGCTGAGGTGAGTGGATTGCCTGAACCCGCGGGTTCGAGACCCACCTGGGCAACTTGGCGAGACTTCATCTCTACAATAAATCAAAAAATCAGCCGGGCGTGGTAGCGCATGCCTGTAGTTCTAGCTACTTGGAAGGCTGAGGTGGAAGGATTGCTGGAGCCCAGCAGGTTAAAGCTGTGATGGCCAGGAGTGGCCACTGCACTCCAGTCTGGGTGACAGAGTGAGACTCCAACTCAAAAGAAAAAAAAAGAAGCCGGGCTCGGTGGCTCAGCCTGTAATCCCGCGCCTTTGGGAGGCTGAGGTGAGTGAATTGCATGAGTCCGCGGGTTCGAGACCCGCCTGGGCAGCGAGACCTCATCTCTACAATAAATCAAAAATCAGCCGGGCGTGGTAGCGCATGCCTGTAATTCCGGCTACTCGGAAAGATGA